GGGAAGGCATGTGATGTCATGTACCAAGTTGGTAATGGCAAACTTCTCGGGCTCAGGGACCCAGAGGTGACCACGAAAGGAAACTGAATCATAGGCTCCCAGGGGTTTAGGGTTTATGGTTAGGGTTTAGGGGGTAGGGTTTAGGGTTTAGGGGGTAGGGTTTAGGGTTTAGGGTTGAGGCGCCACAAAGGAACCAGTCTTGTTAAGGACGACGGTGCCCTTATAATTTTGACCGTAAACCCTAAACCCCAACCCCTGAACCCTAAACCCCAAATCAAAAGCCCTAAACCCCAAACCCAAAACCCCAAACCCCAAACCCTCAACTCCAAACCCCTAACCCCAAACCCTAAACCCGAAACCCCAAACCCTAAACCCTAAACTCCAAACCCCAAACCCCAAACCCTAAACCCTAAACCCCAATGCCGAAAGCCAAGCTCCGCACCAAGTCTTGGACTTGACGCTTCAGCTTCCTCGGCGCAGCGTGTGAGGTAAAGGGGCGGGCCACTTAGGGTTTAGGGCTTAGGGTTTAGGGTTTAGGGCTTTAGGGTTTAGGGTTTAGGGTTTAGGGTTTTAGGGTTTTAGGGTTTAGGGTTTAGGGTTTAGGGTTTAGGGTTTTAGGGTTTTAGGGTTGAGGGTTTAGGGTTTAGGGTTTTGGGTTTTGGGTTTTAGGTTTTGGGTTTTGGGTTTTGGGTTGAGGGTTGAGGGTTGAGGGTTGAGGGTTGAGGGTTTGGGGAGTTAGGGTTTTAGGGTTTAGGGTTTTGGGGTTGTTACATGAGAAATTAAAAAGGGACCAGGACCAGAATGGAATACTATCAGCAGTTATTCCGACCCCTGTACTATGGTTTCAGGGCTTTAAGGTTTAGGGGCTCAGACTCAGGCTCTCTCACGCTGCATGCTTTGTGCGGGGTTCATTTTAGGGTTTAGGGTTTAGCTTCGGCTTAGTCCTCCCATCAAAGCTGGGCCACCTAGAGTCTTAAACCCCAAGCAAACCCCAAAAACCCTGAAACCCCAACAGCCCTAAAACTTTAAACCCTGAACCCTGAACCCTAAAACCCCCAAAGCCATAAACCCCTACAACGCAAACAGCCCCAAACCCTGAAACCCTGAACTCCCCATGCTTACCCCCAAGCCTTAGACCCTGAACCTGAACAACCCCGAAAACCCCTGAGCTCTAAACCCTGAACCTTAAACCCTAAACCCTAAACCCTGAACCCTATACCCCTAAACCCTAAGCCCTAAGCCCCGAAAACCCCTTGAACTCCTGGAACTTGGGATGTTACCGCTTGTGCTAACCGTCCTTAATAGGTATTGTGGTACCTCCGACTATAATCCCTATTAAGGACTGTTAATCCCGACTAAGGACTGTTAGTATAAGGGAAACATCCCAACCTGAAGCCCTAAACCCTAAACCCTAAACCCCAAATCCTAAACCCTAAGCCCTAAACCCTAAGCCCTAAACCCAAACCCTAAACCCTAAACCCTAAACCCTAAACCCTAAACCCTAAACCCTAAACCCTAAACCCTAAACCCTAAACCCATTCATTTCTTGGCCGAGGCGCGTCTCGGAGTCCTGTAGCGACTCGAGCTCCTTTCGGGGGGTAACTCTTTAGGGTTTAGGGTTTAGGGTTTAGGGTTTAGGGTTTAGGGTTTAGGGTTTAGGGTTTAGGGTTTAGGGTTTAGGGTTTAGGGTTTAGGGTTTAGGGTTTAGGGTTTAGGGTTTACTTTCGGCTTAGGGTTTATGGTAACTCCCACAGGGTATAGGATTTGCAGGTTCTAAGGTTGAGAGTTTAGAGTTTAGGGCTTTCCGGGCTTTTAGGGGCTTAGGGTTTCTAGCGTTCAGGAGTCTACCGGTTTTGGGATAGTGCGTTGGGATGTACATCCATAGCCTGCCAGTTTCCAGGATCGTCAGCGGTCGGGCCAAACCATGCGCCGGCGAAAAGGCACAGACAAGGCCGTCTCAAGCCCTTATCCAGCCCAGAAGCCAGCGATCGATTTTTTTCAGGTAGGCGTAGAGCGCGCAGAGCTTGTGCATGTTGTCTTTGGGAAGGCGCCCCCACCGGTGCAAATCTCTTCGGGTGCAGGGTTTAGGATTTAGGGTCTAGGGCTTATGAGGAGCATATAAGGGTTTCGGAGACCAAGGCCTTTCGTTGCTGAAGACGGCTTAGGGTTTTAGGGTTTAGCGTTTAGGGTTTTGGGGTCTAGGGTTTAGGGCCTTGTGTTTCAGGGCTGAGGGCTTCTTTAGGGTTTAGGACTCCAGGGGTTTAGGGGGCCTCCACATGTTGGCAGCAAAGCTTTCGAGGGTTTCAGGGTTGAGAGTTTAGGGTTTAAGGTTGAGGGTTCGGGGTTGAGGGTTGAGGGATTAGGGTTTAGGGACTAGGGTTTAGGGTTTAGGGTTGAAGGAAACTCCAGTCCCTTCATGACTAAACCACTGAACCCGAATATTGAAGCCACTGGACTGATATAGCCGGGCAAAGCCTGGAACTGAACGCAGGGTTCGGACTTTGTTTCGCAAAACTCGAAACCCTAAACCCTAAAGCCTAAACCGCAAACCCGTTAGCTAGAGTGGGGGGGTGTAGGGTAGGGTAGTATAGGGTCCCACATCGCTTGGGAAGACTGCCCATCAACACCTAGACCAACCAAAGCCGCATCGGGCGCAGGTCCTCAGACACAGTTTCATACCTGAGGGCCGGTAGTGGGATCGGTTTGGCGCTTAGCGCGTAAGGACTCCGGGCTGGGGGAGCCTTATCTTGCCATGCGTGAGACTCACTAGCTTTGAGTGCTACAAAGGCCTTCCGGTATGTACCTAAAACCCTTGAGGGTCTAAATACCTTACATCTGCGGAGCTTTCGGAACACACAGAGTATAGAACCCCTAATCACTACCGAAAACCCTACTCGACGCCATAAACCCATGCTGTCAACAGAATCGATGGTTGATTGATGTGTAGGTATATAGTGTATATCTGAAACCCAACCTGACAACCCTGAAGCCTCATCTGAGCGCTCAGAAAGTTCGCCGCAAGCCCTCAACACGAAACACGGAACTGAAGGAGTGTCAGTCAGAACCTAAATACGACCCCCTCTGCCACCTTATTCGAAATCCGCTTAGGGTTTAGGGTTTCGGGTTTAGGGATTAGGGATTAGTGTTTAGGGTTGAGGGTTTAGGGTTTAGGGTGTAGGGTTTAGGTTTTAGGGTTTAGGGTTAGAGTTTAGGGTTTAGGGTTTAGGGTTATAGGGTTTAGGGTTTTGGGTTTAGGGTTTAGGGTTTGGGGTCTAGGGTTAATGGGGTTTAGGGTTTAGGGTTTTAGGGTTTGGGGTTTAGGGTTTTGGGTTTGGGGTTTCGGGTTTAGGGTTTAGGGTTTAGGGTTTAGGGTTTAGGGTTTAGGGTTTAGGGTTTAGGGTTTAGGGTTTAGGGTTTAGGGTTTAGGGTTTAGGGTTTTATAAACGTATACAAACACAATGGATACGTGTAATATATGCATAGTTTTATTTATATTTATCTTTATATGTATATGAATGTGTATATATGTATACACGTGTATATATATATATATACACACACAGGGCTGTCCGATTGTGGCACCCTGATCTTTAAGAACAGGGGCGCATATACATCCTGAGCCCTACAGTAGACCCATAACCCCCAAACCCCTAGCCCCGAAGCCCTAATCCCGTACACACCGAACCCTTAAACCCTCAAACCCCTTAAGCGCCTTAAACCCCTAAAGCCCGTTTGAACCGCGTTGAAGCCCCTTTTTCAACCCCCTTCAACCCCTTAAACCCCCTAAACCCCAAACTCCAAACTCCTAGCCCTAAACCCTAATTAGACACTAAACCCCGAAACTTCCGAAAACCCCTAAACCATACACCCTTACCACCCTTAAACCCCCCTAAAACCCCTCAAGAACAAACCCTCAAACCCTTTAAACGTGCTCTGTCTAAGTCTGTGTAGTCTCTTGTCAGTAGCATGTTACATCCCCAAACCCCTCAACCCCCCTAAACCCCAGCCCTTAAACCCTCCAACATAGGGGCTAATCATTAGAATAGGGTTTTGGGGTTTTTTTTTATCGGGAAGATGACGCGTACTGATTCCGACCCCGGCAGCAAACCCTCCAAACCCCTCGCAAGCCCCTAAAGCCCTCACACGCTTGGCCCAGGCACTGCTGCCGCGCGGTCTCGAGGGCGAACTTCAACTCCCGCTCCTGCTTTAGCGCCGCCTGGGGGGAGCCGGAGCGTGGGTTGAAGGGTTTAGGGTTTAGGGCTTGAGGGTTTGAACGAAAAAACCCTAAACCCTAAAGTTTAGGGTTCAGGGTTTAGGGTTGAGGGTTTAGGGTTTAGGGCTTGTGGCTCAAAACCCAAAAAACCAATAGGTTTAGGGTTTTTGGTTCAAAACCCAAATAGATCAATGGTTCAAACTTCAACTCTCGCCCAAGTAAGGTGAAGCCCGCGGGTTGCGAATCGGGGAGGCCCTAAGCCCTAAACCCTAAACCCTAAACCCTACACCCTAAACCCTAAACCCTAAACCCAGTGTTAGGGTTTAAAATGAGTTGATCCAGGCTTTAGGCCCTAGGGCTTGAACCCTCAGCCCTGAACCCTGTTTGTGTGGTTTAGGGTTTAGGGTTTAGGGTTTAGGGTGTAGGGTTTAGGGTTTAGGGTTTAGGGTTTAGGGTTTAGGGTTTAGGGTTTAGGGTTTAGGGTTTAGGGTTAGGGTTTAGGGTTTAGGGTTTAGGGTTTAGGGTTTAGGGTTTAGGGTTTAGGGTTTAGGGTTTAGGGTTTAGGGACTCTACCAGACCCGACTAAGCCCCAGGAAAACTCCGCATCCCAACATTGGCCTACTCAAAGAAGGAAACCCTGAAACAAGAAAAAGCCCCCAAAGCCCCTGGAACTGAAAAAATAAAGAACACAAAGCGCAAGCGCCTGAACTCGAACGTACAAGGCCCTCAACCCAAAGACTTGGAAGCCTTTGGGCAATCATTCCTAAACCCAAACCCCACAACCCTCGGGCTTAGGGTTTAGGGTTTAGGGTTTAGGGTTTGGGGTTTAGGGTTTAGGGTTTAGGGTTTAGGGTTTAGGGTCTAGGGTCTAGGGTCTAGGGTTTAGGGTTTAGGGTTTAGGGTTTAGGGTTTAGGGTTTAGGGTTTAGGGTTTAGGGTTTAGGGTTTAGGGTTTAGGGTCCAGGGTTTAGGGTTTAAGGTTTAGGATTAACACCCTAGAAGCCACTGCTAAGTGCAGGTTTGGTGGCTGTCAGCCGCTTGCCAAGAAGCCCCTCACGCTCCTGTTGCAGGGTTGAGGGCTTCAGGGTTTATAGGGTTTAGGGTTTAGGGTTTAGGGCTTAGGGCTTAGGGTTTAGGGTGCAGGGACTGAGGGTAGGGTCTATAGGGCGTAGGTTGTTGGTTTCAGGGCTTCGGCTTTCAGGCTTCCGGGTTTCGGGGCGCAGAGGAGTCCGTGTTCAGGGATCTAGAGCTTGAGAAGGGTCACAGGTCGGCTTCAGAAGCTTGAAAGCCATGGTCTAATTAGGTTGTAAGGCTTCGGGTTCGGGGTTCAGGGTGTAGGGTTCAGGGTTAAGGTTCTTTAAGGTTTAGGGCTCAGGGTCTAGGGTTCAGGGTTCAGGTGAACGCCGCATCGGGCACCCCTCCGTGGCAATTTCCGAGGGCGTTGTCCGCTCTCAACACAGCTCTCCACGATTCAGTGCAGGCTCATTGAGGTCCAGCATTTGTAGGAAGCTTGCCTTTTGAAGCAAGCATTAGCTACATAGGACAGGCGACCTTCGGCGGCAAACAAAGCCCCCTGAGCACTGCAGAACGCCGAGGGCCGAAGGGCGTGCCGTCGCTACAGCACGCAGCGCTAGTCAGGAAGCACCCTAGGCTCTCCACCCTGATCTCTAAACCCTAAACTCTAAACCCCAAACCCTAAACCCTAAACCCTAAACCCTAAACCCTACACTCCAAACCCTAAGCAGTAAACCCTAAGCAAGAAACCCTAAAACCCCGTAGACCCCATTTGATACACCCTGTACAGCCGATAACCCCTGGAGACCCAATACATGATCAATCCCAGAACTACAGACCTTCAAAAACCCATCGACCCCAGGGATTAGGGTGTAAGGGTTTAGGGTTTAGGGTTTTGGGTTTCGGGTTTGGGTTTGGGTTTGGGGTGTAAGGGTTGCGGGTTTAGGTCTTGGGTTTAGGGGTCTAGGGTTTAGGGTTTTCGGACCCTCAACCTTATGCGCTCAACAAACCTCCGGCTGAAGACACCCCCGCAACAACACAACCCAAGGCTCCTCCGATTCTTGCAGCCGCTCTTGTACTTGCGAAAAGCCTGAGTCTCCCAGCTAAAGGGTTTAGGGTTTAGGGGTTTAGGGGTTTGAGGTTTAGGGTTTAGGGTTTGGGGTTTTGGGTTTGGGGTTTGGGGCTTGGGGCTTGGGGCTTGGGGCTTGGGGGTTGGGGTTTGGGGTTTGGGGGTTGGGGTTTGGGGTTTGGGGTCTGGGGTCTGGGGTTTGGGGTTTAGGGTTTAGGGTTTAGGGTTTGGGCATTGGGGCTTGGGGTTTGGGGTTTGGGGTTTGGCGTTTGGCGTTTGGCGTTTGGGGTTTGGGGTTTGGGGTTTGGGGTTTGGGGTTAGGGGTTTGGGGTTTGAGGTTTGGGTTTGGGGTTTGGGGTTTGGGGTTTAGGGTTTAGGGTTTAGGGTTTAGGGTTTGGGGTTTGGGGTTTGGGGTTTGGGGTTTGGGGTTTGGGGTTTGGGGTTTGGGGTTTGGGGTTTGGGGTTTGGGGTTTGGGGTTTGGGGTTTGGGGTTTCGGCCGCAACCGCCACCTGAGGCAGATGCGGCCGAAACGCTCGGCTTGAAAGAGAGGCTGCTTTGATTCTAAGGGGCTACCCTGAATTTCCTAAACCCAATTACCAAACCGTAAACCCTGAGCAATGAATTTATAATCCCTACAACCTAAAACCGAAACCCGAAACCCGAAACCCTAAACCCTAAACCCTAAACCCTGAACCCTAACCATAAACCCCTGGATCCTCGACACTCAACCCCGCTACGCCTTCCGGGGGCGTCAGCCTCCACCTGGCTATAGTTCTCTAGTTAGGGTCCTTTTGGAAACCCTAGACATGAAACCCCAAACCCCTAAACTCTGAACCCTAAACCGTGAACCCTAAACCCTGAACCCCTAAACCCCTAAACCCTGAACCCCTAAACCCTTAACTCTTAACCCTAAACCCTAAACCCTAAACCCTTTCAATGCCCCAGCGGCGCGTGTCCAAGGCGGAAAGCTGGCTCCGGAGCCCTGTGAGCTCACGTTGGAGGATGCCCTCCTGAGACCTGAAAGGTAGAAAGTTAGGGTCCAGGGGTAAGGGTTTTGGGTTTAGGGTTTAGGGTTTAGGGTTTAGGGTTTAGGGTTTAGGGTTTAGGGTTTAGGGTTTAGGGTTTAGGGTTTAGGGTTTAGGGTTTAGGGTTTAGGGTTTAGGGTTTAGGGTTTAGGGTTTAGGGTTTAGGGTTTTTAGGGTTTAGGGTTTAGGGTTTAGGGTTTAGGGTTTAGGGTTTAGGGTTTAGGGTTAGGGTTTAGGGTTTAGGGAAACTTCAAAGGTTTGGGCAGGGGATGGGGAATGAAGCCTCTTGGTCTGCGATTGAGGGCTGAGGGTTGCAATCAAGGTCGCGCACAACAGGCTGGGGGTTTAGGGTTTAGGGTTTAGGGTTTAGGGTTTAGGGTTTAGGGTTTAGGGTTTAGGGTTTAGGGTTTAGGGTTTAGGGTTTAGGGTTTAGGGTTTAGGGTTTAAATGGCGTGCTGGGCAGTGCTGTCCTTCGGTCGTTTCCGAAGGGTGATGCAGGTGGCTTCTAGCCCTCAAGTACTCGTTTAGGTTTTAGGGTTTAGGGTTTAGGGTGTAGGGTTTAGGGTTTAGGGCTTAGGATCCCCAATGTGCCCATTCTATTCAACTATTCCCTACACCCTAGACTCTACATAAAGGCCTCGAGGGCTTCAGCTCTAAACTCGGGTCCGAAACCTGAAGTGATCAGGAGATAGTGTTTCGGGTTGGTTTCGGGTTTAGGGTTTAGGGTTTAGGGCTTTAGTGTTCCTAACACCCCCCCCCCCCCCAAAAAAAAAAAAAAAAAAAACTGCTCCCCGCCCCTAATGATCGACGTCTTCCAAGGGCATGGCCCCAACATGTCCCGGATGGCGTGGAGTGCCTGGCATGCAAGAGTTGCCCTAGACCCTAAACCACCCTAAACCCTAAACCCCAAACCCTATAGATCCTAAACCCTACACCCTAAACCCTGGAACCCTAAACCCTAAACCCTAAACCCGAAACTTTGGGGTTCAAGTTTCCACAGGGGGCTTTGGGTTCAGGATTTGGGGCTTACTGAGGGAAAGGGTTTGGAGTTGGGGGTAAGGGATATGGGCTATGGGTATATGGGTTTCGGGATGAGGATTTAGATTTAGGGTTTTGGGGTCTGCAGGTCAGACGTTTCGGGGTGCTGGCTTCAAGGTTTCGGGTTTGGGGGTTTAAGGCTTGGCAATCTTTGGGGTTTCGGGCTTAGAGTCCTAAACCATGAACCCTATTCAGGGATGAGGATCCAGAGCTCGGGGATTGGGGATTGGGGTTTAGAGTTTAGGGTTTAGGGTTTCGGGTTTAGGGTTTAGGGTTTAGGGTTTAGGGTTCAGGGTGTCAGGTCTTTCCGCGTCCGGGCGACGGAAGCGGCGCCACCCTCGTCAGAGGTGTCGCCGTCGGAGAGCGTGCGAGAAGCTGCAAGGAGACCTTGGGTGGCTTCGGCTTAGGGCTTAGAGGGCTTAGAGGGCTCAGAGGGCTTAGAGGGCTTAGAGGGCTTAGAGGGCTTCGGGCTTCGGGCTTAGGGCTTAGGGTTTAGGGTTTAGGGTTCAGGGCTTAGGGTGTAGGGTGTAGGATCTAGGGTTTAGGGTTTAGGATCTAGGGTCTAGGGTTTAGGGTTTAGGGTTTAGGGTTTAGGGTTTAGGGCTTAGTATGAACTTTACCATGAGAAGGAAACCATTCGTTTACCAGATACACAGGTACGTAGATGCATATACAGGCCATTACCACAGGCACAAAATGTTAAACACTTCTTGCCTAAACCCTAAATGTTAAGCCCATGACGCCCAATCCCTGAACCCCAAACGACCTCAAGGACCCCAGAGGGTTCAGGGTTCAGGGTAAGGGTTGAGGTTTTAGGGTTTAGGGTTTAGGGTTGGGGTTTAGGGTTTCCCTAGATGATGAGGTCCTATACCAACCGCCTGTATACCCAGAAGAATGTGCCGAACATCCCGTAGCTAAGCCTCACAGACTTTAGCATATGGTGGGTAGGTAACAGGTCTCGCTTTAAACCCTAAGTATACAAATCCTAGGCCCTAAACCCCAAACCCTAAACCTTAAACCCTAAACCCTACACCCTAAACCCTGAACCCTAAACCCTAAACGCCAAACCCTAAATGCTAAACCCTAAACCCGGTTCCAGGGCTCTCTAGGATCACACCATCGGAGTCGAGTCGCGATCTCCCTTCCCGGTCCTTGGAGCGGCGCAGGCTCGGGACGTGCAGGGGTGGTCAGGGCTTAGGGGAGTTTGCGTTTAGGGTTTAGGGTTTAGGGTTTAGGGTTTAGGGTTTAGGGTTTAGGGTTTAGGGTTTAGGGTTTAGGGTTTAGGATCTAGGGCTTAGGGTCTAGGGGTTTGGGGTGTGGGGTCTAGGGGTTTTGGGGTTTAGGATTTCGGGTTTAGGGCCGGTTTACGATTCAGGGTTTAAAAGCACGAGGGTTTCGGGTTTAGGACTAACCTCATCCTACAACTCACCGGAAAAAGAAGCCGAAGGAGGAGTAATTTGCTGGTCAAGGTTGAGGGATTCAGCGCATGGGGTTGCAGGCTTGCTCGAAACCCAAAAGACCGAAGCCTAAGGTTCTTTCTGAGCGGTTCGGAGCTTATTGAAGGTTCGGGAAATAGGGTGGCGTGCAGGGTTTGGTTTGAAGGTTTGAAGTGCCAATGTAGAGTTGGCGCTCCAACACAATAGGGCTACGTGCGAAGACGATTTCCGATGTTGTCTTCAAACGGAACGCCTCCTTTTATCCAAACATAGGGCGGTCTCTGAAGACAACTAGTTTGTCATCAGAACACGACCGCACCCCCCTCTTTGCCCGTCACAGGGCAAAAGAGCAACCGCCCCGGCTCAGGGAGCATCCCAAACCCCCCAAACCCCCAAACCCTCTAGCCCAGCTTTACACCGGCGCTGAACAGCGCCACCTTCAAAACGCCCTAAACATGCAAACCGACACTCTTAAATTCTAAGGACCTAAACTCCTAGCCTCCTTGCGCTTGAAAAATCAGGGAAGGGCTGTTCATGGCTCAAAAAGGGCTTAAGGGGTTTAAGGGGTTTTAGGGTCTAGGGTTTGCGGGTTCATGAGGGGTCTCGGTCTCTCCTTCTTTTGCAGGCGTGCAGCACGCGCCTTCAAAGTTGGGCAAGCACAGGGTGATGAGCCAAGCACAGGGTGATGAGGGCTGTTGGCGACATGAGGGCGATGACAAGCTGAGAGCCACAAGGGCACCTGGTCAATCCCCAACCAACGCACGGATGGGCTTGGAGGCACCGGGCGCGTGCCTGGCATCCAGAGCCGGACATGTTGCCCACAGGTCAGGGCTTCCAGAAGTGGGTCGATACTCTGCTAGGCCCCTGGAAGTCTGAGGTTACGGCCTACAGCCACCTATCTCCAGCGAGATTCCTCTTCTGTCGGCTCCTGAGGAACTGCTGGCGCTGTCCGTGTTCTCTGGTGCTCGGCGTTCTGCATCTCCAGACAGGGACACGGGTGCCTCGACCCCGTTCTCTCCGTGGAGACAAACTGGGTCGAGGGGTTTAGGGGTCTAAGTGGTCTAAGGGGTTTAGGGAGTTGGGGGCTTAAGTGGTCTATGGGATTTAGGGGTTTAAGTGGTTTGAGTGGTCTAAGAGGTTTTTTTAGGACTTCGGGGATTAGGGTCTACGCCTTCGCTCACTCAGCAGCAAACCCTAAACCCTAAACCCTAAACCCTAAGCCCTAAACCCTAAACCCTAAACCCTCAACCGGAACCGCGAGCTGCTGGATGTCGCCAAGTCACTCCTTTGCCTTCTTCAACATGAGCTTGGCCACGTCGTAACCTCGGAGCCCAAGTAGTACAAAGCCGGGCATCCCTGTGACTCCCAAGCCCTACAAGATAGTAGGTTGACAACCCCCCTATCAATATGAAAATTTCCTAAAATTCGGGGTACCTCATTGGGGTCCTTATTCTAAGGGGGATCCTACTATTTGGGCGTTTGTTTTGAGGGTATTTTCGTAAACCCCCATATAGGGCCCGACCCAGAAAAGTTGTAGGCAAATGGAGAAGCTGGGTGAAGCTGTTTTGCCTCAACCTCCTGAGTTGTACCCTCATCCCCTAAACCCTACACCCTAAACCTCCTAAACCCTTAACTGATGGACCGGTGAAATGCAACTAAAACCCCCCAAAAACCGCCCAAACTCTTAAACCCAATCTCGCTACACCCCTGAAACCCAAGCTCCTGAACTTCTGAACAAAAGTTTAGGGTTTAGAGTTTAGGGCTTAGGGTTTTGGGTTTTGGGTTTAGGGTTTACGGTTTAGGGTTTAGGGTTTTTACGGTTTAGGGAACTAATACCCCCTAAGCCGCAAAACTCCTAATTCCCTCAACCCTTAACTCCTGAACCCCGTGTAACTAAACCTCTAAACTCCCCAAACCGATTCCCCCTGACAAAAACATGAACCCCTCAGTTTAGACTAGGCCGCCTGAACCGCCCCTAAACTCCAGACCCCTAAGTACTAAAACCCTAAACGCCTAAACCCCTAAGCCCTAACACCCTAAACCCCTAAACCCCTGAACCCCTAAACCCCTAAACCCCTATACCATAAACCCCTGAACCCTAACACCCTAAGCCCCTAGACCCCAAAACTCCTAGACTCCTAGACTTCCCACAGCCGCTAAGCCCCTAAAATTGAACTCAACCGCTATGCTCCGAAACCCTAAGCCTACACCTTGGGATGTATAGAACCCCATATTCTAATCCCTATTCGAGCCTGATAGGATAAGGGGGAACATCCCAACCCTACGCTTCTGATCTCCACTGTCCACGTAGGCTATGTCATGCATCTGGGCGTAAGAAGGCGAGCATGTGACACATCTCAACCGTAATCCCACCGGCAGCCAGAGGCCGCTTCTTTTTCGGGTTCTTAAGGGAGGGTTCAAGGGGGGTGGGTACCTACAAAGCCTTAGGAAGCTTAGGGAGCCTTGAAGAGTGGTGGGGAGTATTAGGGAACCTTGGGTTCCATAGCCCCCTTGAACCCTCCTCCCTGAAGAACTAACTTCCCTCAACCCTAAACCCTAAACCCTAAACCCTGAACCCTAAACCCTAAACCCTCTTGCGTTGCGTGATGGAGGGCCACCGGATAAGCCATGACACAACCAACTGTCCTCATAGGACCCCTGTACATCCATGCGTCTATGCATGGCCCTCTAGACATACCAACTCAGTAGCCTAGTAACCAGATTATAGTAAGACCACCGGGCTACAAGTACCAAGAAAAGCCAAAAAGCCTAAACCCCAAACATCCCGAAACCCTAAACCCTGAACCCTGATCCCAAAATGGTCCAGGATAAGGCCGGCGCCACTATCGCGGAAGTCCTGGAACTCGTCGACCCAACTTTGGCGGGCCTTGCGGGGCGCGCGCTCGCGCGCACGCACGCGCGAGCACGAGTTCAAGTTCGGGGGTCCGAAACACCGGACGTGAGCCCCAAGCCCACAAAGGGTTTAAGGTCTAGGGTTTTGGCTTAGGGTTTGGGGTTGGTTAGGGCTTTCAGGTCTGAAGGGTTTCAGGGGGTTCGCCTTCCTATCAAGCGAAACTCTTAACTGGTATAGGCATACTCTATTGGCTACGAAGTGCTACTAGGCAACTTAAAGCCGAAGCCTAAACAATGCTATGTTCCTGCATCCCAAGCCTGCCACAACCACACGATCTTGAACCCTAGCCCGAAACCTCCAAACGAAAGAACTCTGAAACAACGCATAAGAGCCCTTGCTGAACCCCGCGCTCTAAACCTCCAAAACCCTAAGCCCTAAACCAAAAACAATTGGCTCAATTCCCGTGAAGCTCGAAACCCGGCACCCCAAACGATGCCCCAAGTCCCACCCCAAAAAAGCTGCGAAACCCCAAGCCGAAAAGGCCTAAAACCCTACCCCCCTAAACCCCGAAACTCCTACACACCGAAACGCCGAAACCATCCGAAACCCCACGCCCCTAAACCCCTAAACCCCTAAACCCCAAAACCCCCTAAACCCCCTAAACCCCCTAAACCCCTAAACCCCTAAACCCCCTAAACCCCTAAATCCCCTAAACCGGCTTTCTAACTTGGGATCCTGGAAACCCTACACCCCTAAAGCCCGAAACCATCCGAAACCCTACACCCCTGGGCTAAATCCCCTAAGCCCTAAACCCCTAGACCCCCAAGCCCCTAAAACCCCCTAAACCCCCTAAATCCCGCAGGCCCGTTCTGGGGAACCCCGCAGCCACGCGGATCGTTCGGGGCTTTGCCCGCGGCAGGACAAAGGCCGAGTCGAAGAGGATGAGGCACAGGAAGCCTGCATTCGAAGCTTGGGTTTAGGGTTTGGGGTTTAGGGTTTAGGGTTTAGGGTTTAGGGTTTGGGGTTTGGGGTTTGGGGTTTAGGGTTTAGGGTTTAGGGTTTAGGGTTTAGGGTTTAGGGTTTAGGGTTTAGGGTTTAGGGTTTAGGGTTAGGGCTTCGGGCTTACGGCTTAGGGCTTAGGGCTTAGGGCTTAGGGCTTAGGGCTTAGGGCTTAGGGCTTAGGGCTTAGGGCTTAGGGCTTAGGGCTTAGGGCTTAGGGCTTAGGGCTTAGGGCTTAGGGTTTCAATGGTTGGGTCAATCGTAGGGTTAATTTTCCACTACCACGCGTTCAGCGCAGCTCTCTGCATCGTCGGTGAACGCTTCGGCGCTTAGCTGGTTGGTAAGAGCATATGGTGTAGGGTTTGGGGTTGAGGGTTTAGGGTTTACGGTTTAGGGTTTAGGGTTTAGGGTATATTAGGGTGATGTAGCCATTGCGATGTAGCCATTGATCTCTGGGTAGTGTCAAGGGTAGGGTGATTAGTAGGGTTCACAGGGACGATGGGGATAATAGGGCTCACAGGATTTACAGGGCTTTTTGAGGTCCTTGGAGTTTAGGTTTGTAGATAACGCCCCCTGCACCCTAAACCCCTTAACCAGACAGCATCCTCCTGCCCGACAGCGTCTAAGGAGCCTCTCTCGGGTTGCGGGGGGAGGGGGTTTAGAGTTTAGAGTTTAGAGTTAGCGTTTAGAGTTTAGAGAGTATAGATTTTAGAGTTTAGAGTTTAGAGTCTAGAGTTTAGAGTTTAGAGTTTAGAGTCTAGAGTCTAGAGTTTAGAGTTTAGAGTTTAGAGTTTAGAGAGTTTAGAGAGTTTAGAGAGTTTAGAGTTTAGAGGTTAGAGTTTAGAGTTTAGAGAGTTTAAAACCCTACCAAGAAACCGGTAAAACTGCACAAAATGCCGGACACGAGAAGGAAAGACGACGCCGATGCTTGGGAGCGCCGAGCTTGAACTTCACTTCGCTTCGCAGCTTCGCAGCTTTGGGGGTTTAAGGGTTTAAGGGTTTAAGAGTTTAAGAGTTTAAGGGTTTAAGAGTTTAAGAGTTTAAGAGTTTAAGAGTTTAAGAGTTTAAGAGTTTAAGAGTTTAAGAGTTTAAGGGTTTCAGAGTTTAAGGGTTTAAGGGTTTAAGGGTTTAAGGGTTTAAGGGTTTAAGGCTTTAAGGGTTTAAGGCTTTAAGGGTTTAAGGCTTTAAGGGTTAAGGCTTTAAGGGTTTAAGGGTTTAAGGGTTTAAGGGTTTAAGGGTTTCAGGGCTTAGGGCTTAGGCTTTGGGGTTGCTTGGGGCCTGTCGCCAGCACTGCCCGCCACGGAGTGGCGGCGCCGCGCCGTACGCCTCACGACGGGGTGGGATTCAGGGTTTGAGGGTTTAGGGTTTAGGGTTTAGGGTTTCGGGTTTAGGGTTTAGGGTTTAGGGTTTAGGGTTTAGGGTTTAGGGTTTAGGGTTTAGGGTTTAGGGTTTAGGGTTTAGGGTTTATTCAGGGCTTGGCGGTCGGAGCGGTTGCTTGGGGGCCTAGGGTTTTGGATTCGAGGTTTCAGGGTTTTTGGGTGTTGCAGCTTGCAGCAGCTGGGGGAGGGAAGAGGAAAAGGACGTCAAAGGGGGGAGAGGGTGGAGGAAAGCCGAGGGGAGGGGCCAAGAACCCTACACGGCATAGCACATGAAGAAGAAGCATCAAACACCCTGCCCCAAAACCCAAAATCCCAAACCCTAGCCCCAAAGCTGTAGTTTCATCCTTCGTATGGGCCCAATATGGGCACTGAAAAGGGGACTCCTTGTATACCCCTTATATACCCTATACAACCCAAGGGACCATACATCAGGACTAAACCCTAGGCCAAAAAAAAAAAACATGCTGAGGGCTGAAGGCTTGCGCTCTCCAAGCCCCAAAACCCTCAAACCCACACCCCAGAATCCCAAACCCCAAACTCCCTTATACCACCACGCGAAGAACAGGCGTGTTCGAAACGCTTTCGGCCTCGGGCGCGTCGCGCCATCGATGGGGCCATGAGGCCAGAAGGATTAGGTTCCCCAGTGCTGAGGGAACGCTACACTCCAACTAACTGAACCCTGAGAGAGCTTAAGAGCCCTGAGAACCTCAAGAGGACCCTTCGAAAAGACCTTGTGGGATTTTGGAGGAGCTTGGGCTCCTAAGATTGTGTTGAAGTCCAAAAAAACCAGAGCAGCTTGGTGGGTGGATGTGGTGGGGGCACATGTGTAAAGAGTCCTTATATGTCCGTATCCCCGAGACCAAGCTAGGACGCAGGCTGGGTGGAGAAGGAGCTATGCAGCGATGGCTGTGAGAACGTCTTCATGGACAAGACATATGCAGCCATGACAGAGAGTCCAAACTGAGTGCATGAGCTGCAGCCAAAGTACGGAGGGAGGAGCTTGTTGGGTGATCCGGGCTCGCCACGGCAAGTGGGCAGGTTCCCCTAAGCCCTAAACCCTAAACCCTAAACCCTAAACCCTGAACCCTAAACCCTTGACAGCACGAAACCCAAAAACCCAGAAACCCTGACGTCTACAGCTCTTTGCCTGGGGCTGAATTCTCGTAAGCCGCCTGGGGTCCTAAATTCGGGTTTAGGGTTTGGTGTTTAGGGTTTCGGGTTTTGGGTCTTGAGCTTCTGGGATTTGTAGGGTCTAGGGTTTAGACGGTTTAAGACCCGAATATATGATCCCCCTTTTAGGGGCATTCCCGCAGCAACCACCCCAAACACCCCACACCTAAACCCCAACCCTGAAACCCCAAACCCTAAACCCCAAAAACCCTAAACCCTAAACCGTAAACCCTAAACCCTAAACCCTAAACCCGAAACCCGAAACCCTAAACCCTAAACCCTAAACCCTAAACCAAACAGTCCACGCCCCAAGTCCATGGGCTTGAGGGGGCAGGATGAAGGGTTTTAAGGCAGGGGCTCGAGCCCCAATTAGACTCGAAGACCTCGCAGGCTCCTAGGTACTGCTGCGGTTTAGGGTTGGGGGTTTAAGGTTTGGGGTTGAGGGTTGAGGGGGATATACGGGCCATGTCAGGAGTACATTCAGGGGAACCTTCAGGGCTACAACCTTAGGGGTACGAGTCTTAATCCCTTATTCATGTGTTGCAACCCGAAGCCCAACACAACAACCGGTAAACCCTCTAACCCTACCTAAGCCCTAAACCCTAAACACTCTCAACACATCACACCCGAAACCCACAATCAAAAGCATTAAAACCTTGGAATCGGGCCATGGGAGGGGACAGGGGGGAGGGGGGAGAGGGGGCGGCGGGCTCTGTTCACAGAAGTTCTTCGGGGGCCTAGGGGATTTGTAAGCTTGGGGGCTTTCGGAGCCTTAGGGAGCAGGTATAGGGTTTAGGGGTTAATTAGGGTTTAGGGCTTGGGGTTTGGGACTTTGTAGGGATTCAGGGATTGCGCGTGAGAGCTTCTAGGGTTGTAGATCTTAGGCCTGAATACGTTCCCGCGAAGTCTTCAACCCTCCAAACACATATGAACCTAAACCCCCGTAAACCCCAAACCCTGAACCCTAAACCCTGAACTTAAGCGTTTCATCGGCATGCCTGGCTGGTGATTTGCTTAGGGGGCGCAGACCCCGGGGTCCAACTTAAGAAGCCTCGGATCCACAAACCCCCTCCACCCTGAAACCGAAAAAGCCCTAGACCCGAAACCCTAAACCCTACACCCTATACCGCACTCTTTTAGGCTCGCCTCGAGGAACCTGTAGATCCTTATACATAAGGGAGTATGTACCTTATTGGGTAGACTTACCCTTTTTGAAGCTGCAGTACAAGCGGCTTAATCTAGGGAGGCTTAGGAGCTCGGGTCCTAAACCCTAAACCCTAAACCCTAAACCCTAAACCCTAAACCCTAAACCCTAAACCCTAAACCCTAAACCCTAAACCCCCTAAACCTCCTGAACCGCAGCTTCGGGCCGAGGAGTTCGGGCCCATGGGGCGCCGGCAGTTCTGCCGCCAGCCGCTGGGTGGCTGTCAGGGCAGCCCGGAAAGCCTCTGTGGGGCTCAGGGGGTTTAGGGTTTAGGGTTTAGGGTTTAGGGTTTAGGGTTTAGGGTTTAGGGTTTAGGGTTTAGGGTTTAGGGTTTAGGGTTTAGGGTTTAGGGTTTAGGGTTTAGGGTTTAGGGTTTAGGGTTTAGGGTTTAGGGTTTAGGGTTTAGGGTTTAGGGTTTAGGGTTTAGGGTTTAGGGTTTAGGGTTTAGGGTTTAGGCCTGAAGGTTGAGGGTTTAGGGTTGAGGGCTTCAGGGGCTTGAGGCGGTTCAGGGGGCCTGCGGGGGTGAACCTAAACCCTCAACCCTGCAGTGGCTTTGGTGTTCAGGGCTTAGGAGCCTTTGGGTCCCTTACGGTTTCGGGCTGAGGGTTGAGCGCTTGGGGTTTAGGACCCCACACCAAAGCCTGAGACCCGCGCTCTGGCAGGAACCCTAAACCCTGACCCCACGTTGGTTCTGGGAATACTGAACTTTAGCAAGCCTACTGCGGACATCTTGCTCAGGCTCAGGTCGTGCACCGCCACCGCCTCTAGGGGCATGGTCCTCCGGTGCCCATGGCGCGCAGAGACACTTTGTGATCTGCCCGGCGCGCGTCCGTTCATGCTGTTGACACGCTATGCAGGCGCCGGGTGTCCACTTGTGCCGGGTGCCCTCGTGCCGGTAGCTGCTGCGCCAAAAACTTGGCCCCAGCCTTGGTTTCCTTCGCATCGCTCTCGAGCTGTCGGCACTTGTTGGGGGTCTATATGTCTTGCGGTCGATGGGACTATAAGGACGATAGGGTTCAAAGCCGAAAGCCTCCGAAGTCCAAGAAGCTATACGAAGCCCACAACCCCGTAAACCCTACAACCCCTAGAGTTCTAGCAGCCCTAGAATTAAATACCTGTCAAGCCCTATACGTCAGCCCTAAACCCGCAGCCCTCAAACCTCCCATGGCCCTGAGGGGCCCTGAACCCTAAACCCTAGCCCTAAACCCTAGCCCTAAACCCTAAACCCCGGAAGCCTGCAGAGCCCATAAACCCTGCAAGGCTCTGCGAGCTTCGCAGAAAGCCCTGGGTGCCCACAGGCCCGAATCCCTCAACCCTATGAGCCCTTGAAGGGTTCGGCGTTTAGGGTGTAGGGTTCAGGGTTCAGGGTTTAGGGTTTAGGGTTTAGGGTTTAGGGTTTAGGGTTTAGGGTTTGGGGTTTAGGGTTTAGGGTTTAGGGTTTAGGGCTTAGGGTTTAGGGCTTAGGGTTTAGGGCTTAGGGTTTGGGCCCCCCCCCTCCTCGCTCGGCGAGCTGGTTTGCGCCATGGCGAGCGCCAGGAGCTCCTCAGCTGCCTCCATTCCGAGCTTGCGGATGTAGGGTTTGGGGTTTAGGGTTGTTTCGGGTTTAGGGTTTAGAGTTTAGGGTTTAGGGTTTAGGGTTTAGGGTTTAGGGTTTAGGGTTTAGGGTTTAGGGTTTAGGGTTTAGGGTTTAGGGTTTAGGGTTTAGGGTTTAGGGTTTCGGGTTTAGGTTTTGGGGTGTTAGGTTTAGGGTTTAGGGGTTATAGGTTTTGGGTGTAGGGGCTCAGGGGGTTGGGGTTTAGGGTTTAGGGGTTTAGGGTTTAGTGGTTTTGGGGTTGGGGGGTTTAGAGGGGGTTTAAGGGTTTAGGGGTTTAGGGGTTTAGTGGCTTTGGCAACTGGGGCTTCGGGTTCTACCCTGGCCTCCAACCCTCTTAGCAAAATACCCGAAACCCAAAACTCTAAGCTCAAAACTCAAACCCCAAACCCCAAAAACCCTAAACTCTAACACCCTAAACCCCCCAAAACCCTAAACGCCCCAAGGCCCTAAACCCCAAAAACCCTAAACCCTCCTCAAAACCTTAAAAACACAACCTGACGGTGCAACGAGGACCAACTTTGCCCAACGCCATGGGCCAGCGGGAAAAACCATCCCTGGCAAGCCCACTGAGTTTTTGGCCCTCAACCTGGTAAGTGGCTACGCAAAAAAGGGGTCATTTAGGCTTTAAGGTACTTAATCCCTGTTCCGCTAGGAAGAAAAAAGGACCCTTTTTGTTCATAGATAAGAAAGCCCATAACCCAAAAAGTAAAAAGGATCCCTAACGCTGATCGAGTTTAGTGCTTCGGCTGCTGTACAAAGTACAAGCTGCAAGCCGACCTCATCTACCCGGCCCCAGTCTAGAATCCACCCCGTGGGCCGCCCTGCCCCCAACTAAGCCTTACTAAGCCCTGAAACCCTGGAACCCTAAACCCCACACCCTACATCCCTAAACCCTGAACCCCCCTAACCCCCCCCCCCCCCCAAGCCCCTAAACCCTAAATTTACGCATAGCGGTACACCGAGCTATTAGGGTTTGGGGTTACCACCTGGGCCCTTAAAACCCTCCAACCCCCAGATGATTTCGGGTTTCGGGACGAGGGCCTTAGCCACTTCTCCCCCATAAAGGAACAGAAAGACGTAGTATAGGGTTATAGAGATATAGAGTTATATAGGGTTATATACAGGGTTATAGGGTTATGGGGTTATAGGGTTTAGGGGCTATTCACTAAACCCTAAACTCGAAAGCAGCAGGGAGGCCGTGCCTCTTCCCCGCGCCGCTTCTTCACGATGTGTTCCAGCAGCTTGGCTGCTGGGATGGGCTCGGTCATGAGACCGTGCGCCAGGGCCCCATTCTTTCGATGAAGGCCGAGGTGCGTGAGTGACCACTCGGACTCAAACTTCTGGAATGTCCACGCAATCTCGTACGAGAGGTCGAAGACGCTGGGCACGATTTGTGCGTTCTCCCAGCTCCGCTCCGGCATTGTCGAGCGGTTGCCGTGTCCAACTGGGCCAACTGGAAGGTCACTACCTAAGACACGCGGGCAAACTCAGTCAGTGACATGTCATGATGTCCCTGACCTACTATTTGCTTAAGAACCCCAACAAGTCCCTACATTGCCATTATAAGGAAGAGCATGTTTTACTTCTTGCGGGGTTCTGAAGCCCCTAACCGTAAACACCAAACTCCATACCCCAAACCCTAAACCCCAA